CCCTGTCTCGAAAAACCAAAAAAAAAAAAAAAATGGCAATTGGCTGTTTCAATTTCTAATGTGCCGTGGTGGAATCCAGGACATTAGGCTGGCACTCTATCACCGATTCAGACTCTCACTGGGGGATGCTAGACAGGAGCTCTACCATTGAACCACACCACTGACCCCTCACTGGGGGATTCTAGTCAGGAACACTATCACTGAGCCACAGCCCTCACCCCTCACAGAGGGGTTCCAAGCAGGGGCTGTGTCAATGGACTACATCCCCAACTCTCTTCCCATCTTCTTTTAGTTTCAAGGATTTTTGTACTCTACCTTTGTGTATGGGTATTTTGCATGCGTACATGCATGTCTGGTGCGGTGGATCCTCTAGAGCTGGAGTTACAGACAGTTGTGAGCGCTGGGAACTGAACCCAAGTCCTCAAGAGGAGCAGCCCGTGCTCTTAATGGCTGAGCCGCCTCTCCAGCTCCTCACTTTTCATTCTGAGACAGAATCTCACTAAGTTGCCCAGATCTGCCTTGAATTTACTTCTGCCTCAGTCTTCTGGTAAGAGACTTGTACCACCAGGCCCAGGACACACCTTTTGCCCGTATGCCTGAAGAACAGAAAGTCAGCCATCCAAAACAGTCCCTAGGGTCTTGGGTTGTATAGGACAGTGAGATCCCTGGGGAGCCTTGGGATCCTGGCTACTGTCCTCTGATGTGGAAACAGTGACTAAGGTGTTGGCCCTAACCCTTTCTGTCCCCTTTGCAGTTCCTCTCTCGGCTGAATGGCTCCAGTCCCATGCCAGGAGCTCCTTCCCGCCTGCCCTTCAGTGATCCCTTCTTTGTGGTGGAGACCCTGTGTATCTGCTGGTTCTCCTTTGAGCTGCTGGTGCGTCTGGTGGCCTGCCCAAGCAAAGCCATATTTTTCAAGAACGTGATGAACCTTATTGACTTCGTGGCCATCCTGCCTTACTTTGTGGCCCTGGGCACCGAGCTAGCCCGGCAGCGCGGTGTGGGTCAGCCGGCTATGTCGCTGGCCATCCTAAGGGTCATCCGACTGGTGCGTGTTTTCCGTATCTTCAAGCTATCAAGGCATTCGAAGGGCCTACAGATCTTGGGTCAGACGCTGCGGGCCTCTATGCGTGAGCTCGGTCTCCTCATCTTCTTCCTCTTCATTGGTGTGGTCCTCTTTTCCAGTGCAGTCTACTTTGCGGAAGTAGACCGGGTGGACACCCATTTTACCAGCATCCCGGAGTCCTTCTGGTGGGCAGTGGTCACCATGACCACAGTTGGCTATGGAGACATGGCACCCGTCACTGTGGGTGGCAAGATCGTGGGCTCTCTGTGTGCCATTGCGGGTGTGCTCACCATCTCTCTGCCGGTGCCAGTCATTGTCTCTAACTTCAGCTACTTTTACCACCGGGAGACAGAGGGCGAAGAGGCAGGACTGTACAGCCACGTGGACACACAGCCCTGCACCACACTGGAGGGCAAGGCTAATGGGGGGCTGGTGGACACTGAGGTGCCTGAACTCCTACCACCACCGCTCTGGCCCCCCGCTGGGAAACACATGGTGACCGAGGTGTGAGGGACAGCAGTGGGGTGGGAGGGAGGTGGGAAGGCAGGGCAGGTGCTGGGTTAAGGAACAGAGACCGGATGTGAAGTTATGTCACGTGGTAGTTCCTAGGGGGGCCTTAAGTAGATGTGAATGGCCATAATTTGGGTTGAGTCCAGGGGTTCCCCATTGGCTGTGCAAATCTCCAGGGGACCCTGTGGGTTGCACTGAAAGAGACTTGTCATAAGTTGTGGGTTTCCCGGGTCTGTGTGGGGGATCTCATTCGAGTGTATGATGAGCAGTTATGTGGCTTTGATTCCCTAGGGCCAAGCTGGCGCCACTGTTAGAGTGGTCACATGACTGCGTAATCGTGCACAGAAGCTGTGTGAAGGTGCAAAGGAGATTGTAAGAGTATAAGAGTTAGAAGGAGGCAGAAACCCAGAGAGGAAGGGACAGAGGCCCCCAGCAATGGTTCTCTGTGCTGTATTACATGTGTTACGTGGCCAGAACCTGTTTAGGGCCATGCAAAGCTGGGACATCTGGAGATGTGTCACAGTGGGCATCTCCTAATAGACACACAGTTGAGTCTGACGACATCTCTGTTCTCAGGGGCCCATGCTGACTCGTGTCACTGTCACTGTGAGTCCTGTGGGAGTGTATGTGAGGGCCATAGGACCATGGGGACCCAAGGGCCACAGTGCAGATGAAACTAAGTGTAAGGGAGCAAGCGTGGACACATGGGTGTATGTGGCCCACTGAACCAGCTTGTTCAGGGATATGCCCTGTAGAACGGATGTTTCGTCTCCTTGGGTGTCGTCCCCCCCCCCACCGCCCCATCCATCTGGAGAGGCTCTGTGGGAAGTAGCAGACAGTTTACCCTGCTCATTTGGGATCCAGGCCTAGGCTACCCCAAGCTTTAGCACAGGGATTCAAAGACTGGAGTCATAAGGGAAGAAAAACACAGAGAAGAAAGAGTAGGTGCTTGGACCAGACATGACGGGGGGACAGAGATCTAGAGAGGAGAGAAAGGAAGGGGGAGAGAGTGAGAAAGGGGAAGAGGAGAGGGGGAGAGGCCCAGAGAGAGAAAACCAAGAATGAAGGATTGGCACAACGTGGTGGATGTCCGACGTGCAGAAAGAAGGAGAGATGTACTGAAGAGGAGAGAGAGAGAAGGAGAGAAAGGGAGAGAGAGAGCAGAAACCGTGGTAGCCTTGAGCCCAAGGGTCACCCTTTCTGTTCTCTGAGTCATAACAGACTTAAGCCATGGCGTCAGCACCCCTCACAGCCAAGGAAGGCCGCCACCACACTCCTGGAGGTGCTCTGTGTTTCCTAGGGCAGAAACCCAAGGCTGTGAAATGCTGTGGCTTCCCCCAAGGTCACCCAGCACGTCATGGGGCCAGAACTGGTGGCAGGTGGCCTGCCTGTGACACCCCCACAGCTTCTGGTGTGCAGGTATTGCTGGAGGTCACTGGTCCTGTGTCTTTTTGTTTTGTTTTGTTTTTTGAGACAGGGTCGGTACTTCTTTGTAGCTCTGGCTGTCCTGGAACTCACGCTGTAGACCAGGCTGGCTTTGAACTCACAGAGATCCTCCTGCCTCAGCTTCTGATGTGCTGGGATTAAAGGCATGTACCGCCATGCCTGGCAAGGCCCTGCATCACATAGAGGAGGAAGCTGATAGCAATGGGAACAGCATTACCCTAGGCTACAGAGAGACATTTTCAGAGTCTCCTGAGACTGGGGGGCATTTTAGGAAGAGGAGAGCGGTTACAACACCAACAGAGTTCAAGTTATTTGACTGGCATTAATTTATTAAAACCTGTTCACTGGTGCCGAGTGTCAAGTTATTTTTGATAACGATGCCACCTGCTTCAGTCATATGAACTCTTGCTTAAGACCAGAGGGTGAAGCATCTCAGGCAGGCTGCTGGGAGGATATGCCTCCTCGGAGCCATCAGACATGAGGGAAAAAATGTGAGAAGGGCCCTCGTCATCACCAGACATCTTGCTATGCAAGAGAAAGGAGGGATGGGGGAGAGGGCGTGATGGGGATGGACACCGGAGAATCTCAGGGTGGTCGCTTCTCGCTAACATAGACTCATATTCGTAGAAATGGAGACTGACCTGCACGCAGGGACCAAAGACAGAGATGCAGAACACAGACTCCACCATAGAAGAGATGATGGGGCAGAAGAAGTGTGGAGAGAGGGCAGGTGCCAGGCAGAAGAGAAGAGCTCAGAGAGCAAGAAGACAAGGGGAGGGAGGGGAGGGGAGGGAGAGAGGGGGAGAGGAGGAGGGGAAGAGGAGGAAGGAGAAAGGGAGGGAGAGAGAGACCAAGAAAAGAGACCGAATTTCCCTCGTCTTTCGAGACCCCTCCTTGACTCCCAGAGGAGCTGGGGTCTCTCGGTAGGGATGGGCTGTGTTAGGAAAGGATGAGAGGTTCCAAGGGTGACCCAAGGGACACCCAGGCTAGGAAGTGTCTCTTCCCACCTCCAGTAAACAACTGGAGTGGGCTCTGAGTCACCCTGGCTGGGATGGCAAGTTAGTTGAGGGGAAAACCCTAATCGGGGGACACCCTTCCTGCCACTTTGCCATGCTATATTTAGGTTGGGGGGATGGGTGCTGGGTGACCCCCCCAAAGGCAAGTGTCAGCTTTCCTCCTAAATATAGCTTGGGGTAGGGGAGCCAGAGTCCCAGAGAGGGGTATGGGAGAGCAAAGGGCCCTGCCACCCAAGGGACCATCCTGCCGCAGTGACACCGTGCAGCCTACCTTTCTTCCTGAGGTCCACTTCTTGGACTGTTCTCCTCCCTCTGGGGTCTGGCTTCTCTGAGTGGGTTTTTGTCCCGTCTTCTCTTCCCTATGGGTCACAGTCGCTAGGCAAGTCACAGTTCTTAAAGCCTCACTCCAACTACCTTGAAGTTTTCTTATCTGCGCTAGGACTCTCTGGTTTCCAGCCAGGAAATTCCAGGATAGAGGACTATGTGGGGGAGCCCCGCAGTCTCTGTCTTTAGGCATTGGGCCTTATCACTGTACAAGCCCAGCTGGCTAATGTCTGGCAGGGAGATCCAGGAGGGGAGACAGGAGCAGAGGGTGGGAACCTGCACTAGACACCACAGCAATCCCAGGCCTGAGGGGAGGACTGCAGGGAAAGGATGGGGCCTAGACCTCTGTGTCTGAAGGACTGGAGTCTGCATCCTTGGCTCTGAGGGAGGAGGGCTGGAGTTGTGAACGCTGGGTCTGAACCCCTGTCTGAAGGACTGGGAGCCTGCACGCCTGGGTCTGAGGGAGGAGGGGCGGGGTCTAGACCCCAGTGTCTGATGGAGGAGGGCTACAGCCCAGACGCCTGGAACTGAAGTTGCCGAGGCCGGGCTTCCGAGGTGCCGGTTCGCGCGTGCTAGGCGGGATCCCCCGCCCCTCCTCCGCCGTCGGGCGCCGCCCCGCCTCCTCCCAGACCCAGGCCCTCCCAAGCGCAAACGGCGAGTTGCGGGCGAGCGGCGGGCATCCGAGCTGCCAGCGAGCCGGAGGAGGAGCTGCGGCGGCGCCAAGGGCAGCCGGGGAGCAGAGAAGGGCGCCCCAGGTAGGAGCTCCGCGCCTCCCCTGCCAGATTCCGCCGTCCAGGTCGCCCGGCCCCCGGGTAGGGAGGGACGGGGGCGGGGCCGTCAGGGGCGGGGCTTGGCGAAGGAAACTGAGGCAGGACGGAAGTGTCCTAATGGTGGAGCTGATCCCCCTCCAACCGAATCAGGGAGTAGGGATCCCCAGTCCAATTTTCCTGGATGGAGAAACAGGGAGTCCCTATTTATAAGCACCTTGGAGGAGGGACCGCAACCCCAGAACCTGTGGGGTCTGAGGGAGGAGGCGGCTGGAGTCCAAGAAATCTAGTCTGCAGCAGGAGGCATCTGGGGAACCAGGACACCCTCGCTGAGGGAGGATGGTTCTGGGGTCTTGGGCCCCTGGGTCAGAGGGAGGAGGCAGCGGGTACCCGCACTCGCTGTGTTGGTGTGGCCAACCTCTGCCCCCGTTCACACTCCACACTTCCCATTCCCCCACCTCGGAGCCTGGCCAGCCAGACACTCCAGGTATGCGTAGTCGGAGTCTTGGGCGGGCCCTGGCCTGTCCTGCGAGGAGCGAACATTCCAGGAAGCAGCCTCAGGGACCCAGAGCCCTGAGCGTGGGCCGGCAGGGACCCGGCTGTCCAGGCCAGCCCCCCTCCCCCCCACCGCGCCGCACCTCCGGTGGAGGAATGGGAGGAGGGGATGTAATGTCTTTCATTTGCTTCACCTGCCCCTCCTTTCTGCCCCCCCCCCATCTGCTTCCCATCCCTCCAGAGCTGTCACCTGCGCCGGGAAGGGGGCCTCTGGAGGTGGGCGGGGCCTCTATTCCAGGGTACCCTGGACTTTCAAAGATTCTGGAAACGGTGGCTTTTTATGGGGGGGTCGTGCCCTTCCCCCATCCGCCTATGTAACCAGCTTTGTTCCTCCCACAGGTGGTTGCCCCCTCCCTCTCCTGAGATGTCAGGGAGGAGACTACCTGTATCCTACACAGGGGCCCCACAGAGCCTGGGGGCCCCCAGCCCCAGAGTGAAGAGGTGGTGGTGCTGCTGACAGGTCTGGTATTCATTCATTCACCTGCTGCTTTCCAGTCCCGGCGCAGCTTCTAGAACGTTCAAATCTCTCCATCTCCCTCGCAGCATTTCCCAGCACCTGGGTCGGTCCCACAGTCAAGGCCATGAAAGTGGCAGGACTCAGGGGTTCCTCCTGGTTATAGGACATGAGACCCAAATAGCACTGCTCAGAATCCAAATCTTACCCATGCCACTTGCTGGCTGTGTGACCGGATAGAAATAATTTCTCTTTTATTATTATTATTATTTTGTATAAGCCCTGGCTGGCATGGAACTCCCTGTGTAAACGGCCATCTTCCTGCCTCTGCCTCCCAGTGCTGAGGTGACAGGTGTGCATCACCACGCCCAGCTCGGCTTCTCACTCACAGGAGTTGAATAGTTATTAATCCGAAAGTTAAGCGTTCCCCAAGTAGAACACAGGGGACCCCTAAGGTCCTCCCACAGTATGCCATGCTGACAGCCGTTCTGGGGGGAGGTAGGACCCTGGCTTCTATTACCCAGGTGTCTTCCTTCTCTAAGGACTGCCTCTTTCTCCATTTTCAGGTGTGCAAGCCATGCTCCCTCAGCACTCCTCCCTCATCATTTTCCTCTTCCTACTCCCCAGCATCCCCATGGAGCCCCAATCCCCACCCTCCACCTTTCCCCCATTTCTGGCCGCTGAGTGGGACCTCCTGTCTCCCCGTGTGGCCCTGTCAAGGGGCGCCCCTTCTGGGCCCCCTCTCCTTTTCCTGCTGGAGGCTGGAGCCTATGGGGAGCCGGCAGGGGCCCCAGCCAACCGCAGCCGGCGTGGGGTGAGTGAGACTGCGCCCGCGAGCCGCCGGGGTGAGCTAGCCGTGTGCGACGCAGTGAGTGGCTGGGTGACGGACAGGCGGACGGCTGTGGACTTGCGTGGGCGCGAGGTGGAGGTGCTGGGCGAGGTGCCTGCAGCAGGTGGCAGTCCCCTGCGTCAGTACTTCTTCGAGACGCGCTGCAAGGCTGAAAGCGCTGGGGAAGGTGGCCCGGGTGTGGGCGGAGGAGGTTGTCGCGGTGTGGATCGGAGGCACTGGCTCTCAGAATGCAAGGCCAAGCAGTCCTATGTGCGGGCGTTGACTGCAGACTCACAGGGCCGCGTGGGCTGGCGCTGGATTCGGATCGACACAGCTTGCGTCTGTACGCTTCTCAGCCGAACAGGCCGGGCCTGAGGGCCCCAGCTTGAGGAAAAAGGAGCTGGATGCTAAAAGGACCTCAGAGGCAACCCGGCTGCTCTACTGTGCCTTCTGATTGAGAACTGAAAAAATCAAATGCCATTTGCGAGCTCAATCTACATGGAATGTTTGGTGAAACCAGTTTTAAGAGATGGATAGAAGTCCTCCCGGAGGAACTTGACAATAATAATAATAGCCAATGTTTGCGATCTACTGTTTATTAGACCTAAGACATCACTCTGCTGACCATTCCAATACCAGAGGACCCTGGCCCACCCTGGCAAGAGGGAAAGGGCCATGTGAAAAAGTGATGTAGACAGGGCTGTGCCTCAGTTGGTAGGCTGTTTGCCTAGCCGGCATTAGGTCCTCCGCTCTATCCTGAATACCACATCATAGACAGTGGAGGTCATCTGTGATGCCAGCACTTGAAACTTCAAGGCCAGCCTTGTCTGCTGAGGAGTGGGGCTTCATCGTGATACATGCCTGTAATCCTAATACCTGAGAGGCTGCAGAGGACTGCCTCCGGTTCCAGGGCAGCCTGGGTTACACAGACTGGCAGAGGTGGGGAGGGGGTATGGGCCAGGTGGGCCCCAGAACCTGAGGATGCGGTCAGTGAAAGGCCTTGAAGTACTTACTGGGAGCCTGACCTGGCCAAGGCTGACCCAACTCTTTTTTGTTTAGATTTTGGAGTCAGGGTCTCAGGCAGCTCAGGATGGCCTCGAACTTAGGAAGTGTTGAGCTTTGTATCTCCCACTCCCAGTTTATGCGGTGCTGGGGTTGGAACCCAGGACTTCCTGCAAACCATCACTGGACCACACCCCACACACACAGCATTTTTTTTTCTTTTAATGTTCTGGGACAGGTTCTCATGAAGCTCAGACAGGCCTAGAACTAGAATATGTTGCTGAGAATGACCGTAATTTTTCTTTTTCTTTTTTTTTTTTTTGTTTTTTGAGACAGGGTTTCTCTGTGGTTTTGGAGCCTGTCCTGGAACTAGCTCTGTAGACCAGGCTGGTCTCGAACTCACAGAGATCCGCCTGCCTCTGCCTCCAGAGTGCTGGGATTAAAGGCGTGCACCACCACCGCCCGGCCGTAATTTTTCTTTTAAAGCTTTTCGAGACAGGGTTTCTCTGTGTAGCGTTGGAACATGTCCTAGAACTCACTCTGTAGACCAGACTGGCTTAGAACTCACAAAGATCCTCCTGAGTGCTGGGATTAAAGGCGTGCACCACCACCGCCTAGCAAGAGTTCTTTGATTTTCTGTGTATTGAATGTTTCACCTTCATGTATGATGTACACCATGATGGTGTCAGAGAAGAGTATCTGGAGTTACAGCTGCTTGTGAGGCACCATGTGGGTGCTGGGAACTGAACCTGGCTGGGTCCTCTGCAAGAACAAGTGCTCGTATCGGATGATCCCACTCTCACACCCCACCTTCATCTCCAGTGTTGGGACACCTGAGAGACGGGGTCTCTCCGTAGTAGACCAGGCTAGACTCAACAGCCTCAGTGTTGGAGCAACTACACTAGGGTGTATAAACATATTCTTTGGAGGCGAGCTTCTCCCAAACTGAGTGAGCCTGGACCACTAGCAGGGCAGAATCCGCCCCTGATGCTGAGGGTGGCCCTGTTCCCACCCTCTCAGTCTGACTTCCTGTCTCTTTTCTGTGGGTGGAGCCCCCCTTTCTCTTCTAAGTGTTTCCCGGTGTTTCTTTCCCTTGGTCCCCCGCCCCCATACCCAGGTGGAAATTTTCAGCCACATGAAAGGCAGGCATGACTGGGGACGCTGGCCCTTCAGCCTTCACGGAAAGGAGCTGTCTGGAAACTGTTACCCTGAGGCGGGCAGGCCTGGCGGTCGAGGAGGCAGCCCTTGGGCCAGGGGCCCTGCAGGAAAGGGACGTTTAGTTCCCCATCCCCTGAGTCAGCCTGTCTTCGAGTCTGCAGTGTCCCCTCCCCTGACCTCCTGTTTCCTTTCCCCTCCTCTCTGGAGTCTCCACCCTTCTTCACGTATCTGTTTCTGTGCCCGTCTTTCTTAGGGTCTTCTCCATCTTCTTTCAAAGTCCTGGTCTGGGTTCCCCGAACCCTCCCCAAGCCATTGGCTGGGCTCGGGGTGGGCGGGTTCTGTTACGAGGGGCAACGGCCACACCACAAGCCGCTTCTTGGCTTCCGAGAGGGTGAGAACCATGGCAGGCCGGCCCCTAGCTCTGCGATATGGGCCCCCTTGGTACCCCATTTCTGAAACTGAGGTTCCTGGAACCTGGCCCAGCTGGCCTCTCACCAGCAGCGGGGTCGCCCACCACAGGATCCCACCAGCGCCCTTTCCTCCGCCCACTCTGCAGGTGAGAAGCCCCCGGGCGGAGGGCAAGACAAAAAGGGGGCAGTTGACAAACCTGTGTGCTGGGAGGAAAGAAGAATAGGGTTAGACTCTATCTTAAAGGAGGCGAGGCCTGGGAGCCTGCACGCCAGGAGCTGAAGGAAAGGGGAAGGCTCCTCGGGTCTTTTGGCTGAACCATGCACTTTCCCCAGTCTACGGTCCTGGCACCCCTGCCCGCAGCCATGAAGCACGTCCCGCGCATCTGGGCTTTTGACGAAGTCATCAGCAGATGGGAAACCACCTCGGGCTCGGCATACACGGCCAAGACTCACGGTGGGCCCTGTGCTCAGCCCAAGGCCGCAGAACATGAGGACCCTGGGCGGCCACTAGGGATCAAGTCTTTGGCTGAGAAGGTAGGGTTCTGGAACCTTGCAGTATGTGGGATGGAGAGTTGGAAACTGGAGTCCCTGCTTCCTCATCTTTAGACTTTGGATCGCCTTCTTGTAGCTAAGAAGCCATCAGGGTTTGGGTGTCCCCCTGAACACAAAATACCAGATCAGCGAGATGAAGACACAGTACACGGGCTGTCCAGGTCTGGACCAGAGTGCCCCTCTCTTTGCGGAGCCCCAACCCCTGGAGCTCACTGACCACCACCGCGGAGGCCCTTCCCAGGTAGAGTGGGTTTGGGCACAGCGGGAAGGAGCCTGGGCTGCCCAGAGGGTTAGGGTCTAGACAATCTCTGGGCTGGAGGAAGCTTGCATTTGAGGGTGTAGCTAAAAGGCATTGGGTTAGCCTGAACTCTGGGGATGAAGCCTGGAGGGAGGTTCAATTTTGCTTCTGAGGCTGTGGGGTGCTGCAATGAACTAAGCTGAGTAGATGCTATTCAGAGCTGGACTAGAATATTCTGAGACAGGGTCAAGTTACCAGATAAAGTTAGGTTTCCTGGGTGAGGAATGAGCAGGTGGGGTTGTTACCCAGATGCACTGAATGTCCGATGTCAGTAACTGCTTAGACTAGGAGGGGACTGGGAAGAGTGTGGCCACAGCTTGAGTTTGGGTGCAGTGCTCCCAAGGACCCTGATTTGAGGCACAAAGTCTGGCGGGAGGGCTTTAATAGGGTAACCCAATAGCTTTTCCCAATCCTCCTCAGGCCCTCATCCCCTGGACAAAGAACCCAGAGCTGGCTGGCCAGCCCTTTACAGTGAGCAAGATGGGTGTCCTGGACCGCCTCCAGCCCTATCTGACAACCTCTGCACGTGACTTCTCAAGGTGAGCCTCTGCTCCTCAGGTTCTAGTGTAGGCACAGCCCCTCAGCAGTTACACCTGCAAAGACAGGGACCTCAATACTGACCCAAGATGAGCTCTTTCAGCTCAGGATCCAGAGGCTCCTCCAAGGTAGCAAGAGCAATTTCCAGGCCCTGGAATCTGAACTCTGCTGTGTCTGGGTCTACTCACTTGCTGTCCCCTCCCCCAGGAAAGAGCTGCCTGGATATCCTGGCCAGAAATCTATGACTTGCTGGAGCTGTCTGAAGAAGCCACAGGCTTTCAGTCATGGTGGTCCACCGAGGGAACGGCTAGCCCGTGCACGTCCAGTACCACCAGCTGTGCCATACCTGGGGGCCCTGCCTTTGGCCCAGGAGTCCTACGGGCCCTCAGTGCACCCGCTCCGCAGGCTGGACCGCTTTTGCCCACTAGAGGCACCCTGGGGAGGCCCCCACCAGAAGCCAGTGCCTGGCATCTACAGTGTGCCCAAGGCCTACTGCACCGAGAACTCCCGCTATGGGAGTGCCAGGGCAGAGCTGGTGTGAGCATGTGGGCCTCACCCACAGGCAGACATACACTCCAGCATCGGATTTGTGGGTGGGTTGGCCATACCCCACGCTTGCAGAAAAGCCTCCTCCATGCGGAGCTTAGTAATCAAGGAGTTTTACAGCTGAAATCATACCCACGTCTGGATCCACGCATCCTGATTAGGGAGTCGGGTGAGGGGCGGTTGCTCCACTTCTGGTTGGAAGTGTCTGGGTATAGTAAATTTGGAGGCCCACTTGGGGCAGGAGGAACCTAATGCTGAAGCTGTTCCTTTTTATAAGGCTGCACCGAGGGACCCAGCTAGCAGCCTGCAGAGTTCACCTTTTTCTCCTCCTGTGATGGGGGTGAAGGGCCCAAGGGTCCTTCCTGCACTCCCAACATTGGCTAGGCTCAGACACCTGGGGTGAGTGTGAGGCCAATCACTGATGGTCCCTCACTTCCCTGACCTTGTCTGTCTCTCGCCCCCGAAGAGATTAGTGTCTAGGCTACCCAAGCCTACAGTCACTGCTTGGTGGCCTTGCCACCCCCACAACCCGCAGGTATAAAGTTAGGTGACCGAGGTAGGGAAGGCATCAAGAATGGAGAGGCTCCAGGTAAGAGTATAGGGCCCTGGGCATCTCCCAATCCCACCAGATGGACGGTCCTGTGACCTGTGAGGGGCGGGGGTGTCCTGACTTGTGGATTCCAAGAAGGACAGAAACGGAATTGATGGCAGGTCCTGAAGGCCAGGATCAATACGATACTGAGTGGGTCCAGAGCCTGGGGTGGCGAACCTAGGGCTAGACTGAGCCACTACTGGCTGTGTCCCAGGGGCTGTTGCTGTGGCTGCTGCTGAGCCCGAGCGCAGTGTGGGCCTCCAGGGGCCCCCTGAGGCCAGTGTGCCGGCCTATCAACGCAACCCTGGCTGCAGAGAAGGAGGCCTGCCCCGTCTGCATCACCTTCACCACCAGCATCTGTGCCGGCTACTGTCCCAGCATGGTGAGCTCGCCAAATGGGCTGGGACCTCACTTCTCTCACAAAGTACCACCCCCTCAGCTAGACCCAAGACGGGTGGTGGCAGTGGGGCAAAAGGGGATGGCACCTGGACAAGGGGTCACAGCTACTGTGGGGGTTTGGAAAATCAGGTGGACACAGCCCGGTCAGGGTACGGGAGCATTCATGACTCTTTTCTCCGGGGCTCCAGGAGCGAGTAGTGACGGTCAACCTGCAGCCTGCGCACCAGACCGTGTGCACCTACCAGGAGCAGCGCTTCGCGTCTGTGCGCCTGCCTGGCTGCCCACCTGGTGTGGACCCCGTGGTCTCCTTCCCTGTGGCCCTCAGCTGCCGCTGTGGGCCCTGCCGTCTCAGTAGCTCTGACTGTGGGGGTCCCAAGGCTCAACCGTTGGCCTGTGACCTCCCCCACCTCCCTGGCCTCCTCCTCCTCTGAGGCCCACCCCCTCACTTCTCTATCTCAAGGAGCTGGCAAGTGTTCCAATCACCCTCCCAATAAAGGCTTTACAACTGCACGTGGGTGTCCATGGGCTTTGCGGACACACAGCAGGGCTCCAGTTTCCAACCATTTTATACAAAGTCAGTGCCAGAATCTGTAGAAACGAGGTGGGCGGGGTGGGGCTGGGCGGAGCCAGCTCAGGAGGTGTCCATTGTTTCGCCTTCTGTGGAGAGGGGGAGCCAAGCACGAGTGAGCTCCAGGGTGCTCCCATGTAGCCCCCTCCCACGGTGGCAGCAGCCCGGGTGGGCTACTCACTGAGCTCGTTGAAGAGGAAGGCATCTTGGTATTCCTTCATGTACTGTGTGGAGCGGGATTCATCCAGGAAGAGGGAGTATACGCGTTTGATGTCATCCACCTGCACTTCTGTGCCCTGGGGACAGATGGGCCGTGTCAGCATGGGGTCATGGGTCCAAGCCCCCCTCCCCCACAGCCTTTTCCTCTAAGATCGCTGTGGTTCTTAGTCCCCACTGAATACCCCTGTGCCATGGCCCATGGGCTACCCCAGGGCCATCCCTTTAGTCCTCCACGCTAACGTGCTGGCTTACCTTTCTTTTCCGGCACACCAGGCTGGCCGCTGTGATGAGCTGGATAGCGTAGCGCAGGGAGGTCTCCAGCCCAATGCGGGTCAGAACTGTGTAGGCATCCTCACTCATCTCCACATCCTCCTCCTCACAGCTGTGGGCAGGCAGGCCTCAGCCAGGCAGAATGGCAGATCCGCTCTGCCCATCCCCAGAGCACCCCACCCATGCCCAGAGCATCCGTGACACAGGCCTCAGAACCGCAGAGGCACCACCCCAGGGTGCTTCCCACTGGTAGGATGCCACACTGGTGTCCCAGATACAGAGGCCTGGGCGCATCCCTCCCATCCAATCTCAGTGTCCCCATAAAGGGGCAGGTGGCCCACCGGATGCGCAGAATCTGCTTGGTATCCTTCTCACTGTAGGGGGACGTTGAAACAATGAGCAGGCGGTCTAGCAGGTCAATCGGGATGCCATGAGGACTCTGGTAGCTGGTGCCTCGGATCCTGGGGGTCAGGGAGCACAGTTAATGGATGTTCTGGGAAGCCATACTGGCCATCACAACCCTCTTGGGGAGCTGAATAACTATGTGAGCACAGGCTCTCATCGCCTATAAGCAAGGCCTTCCCAGTGGTGCTAGTGGCTGTCCTGTCCCCTGCTGCACAGGAAATTCTTGGTGGGAAACGGGACCCATACATAACAAATCGTTCCATTCACAGGTAGCTTAGCCACAACTACAATGCTGTTATCGGGAGGTGGTTCAGGACAGCTGCCAGCTTCCAACCTACCATCCCTGCACTTTCCAGACTAGGGGAGAGGTTGACACAGGGATTAGGGATTGCAGGTGAACATCAGGTGACAAAGCCAGCGTAGACCTCAGGACTGGCTCCCCTGTGCCCTGGTCTAAAGCGGCCTTGGGAAAGCCTAGGCTACTGTGAAGCGGGAGAGCGGAGCAGAGCAGAGCGGAGCGGAGCAGGCGAGGCTGTCAGCCACGGCCTCTGCCCTCCTCACAGCCACATCGAACTCCAGTTCCAGGGCTATGATGCACTCTTGTGACATCTGTGGGGACCACATGCATGCGCACATATACAGAGACACAATAAAAATAGATCAGAGAAGAGAAAGGGGTTGAGGAGATGGTTAACAGAGTGTTCCTGCAGAAGACCCAGGTAGGTTTCCCAGTACCCACACTGGGTAGCTCATAACCGCTCATAAAGGCAGCTGCAGGGTCTACAGCTCTGGACTCTGCCCACAGCTGAATCCGCACCTCTACACCCCACCCCCACTACATACACACAACTTCAAAAACAACCGAAAGGGGATGCCATGGTTAAACATGAGATGGTGACGTGCTCAGTGAAGCTCATGAGCCACCACTAGAGGGAGCCTTGCACCCTGAGCCCTGTCCCTCCTTGGTCCTCCACACTCAGGTCCTCTGTCTCAGTCTACACAGTGCTAGCCCACTGGTGGAGGAAGTGACCCCACGCCCAGCACGTCACAGTATCGTTGGGTTCAGGTGACGAAGTGTCTGGGTGAGTGACTTGAGGGTCACCGCAGTTTGTGATGTGCCTAACAGATGCCCCGAGCCCAGCTCGGAGTAACTTCCTGGGGTGTCTCTGGGTGCCTTGGCCAGCAGTTCTGAACTGCAAGTTGACTGGGGACAACGCTGAGGCAAGCTTGGTGAGGAGGTGCTGGCGTACCAACCACAGTGCGCAGGCTACCATCACCCCCTGGGCCAGAGCGCACCTTCACCCAGAAAGCTCTAAAGCTGCTCACCGGGTAATGCCTCGATTGGTGGCCATGATGAGGACAGGGGCCATGTCACTCTCCAGAGCCCGGTTGAGGAAGGAGAAACTCTCAATATCCAGCATGTGGACCTCGTCGATGAACAGCACCTGGAACCAGTGGGACACAGATCAAGATCAGGGTGGAGACTGCGGACCCAGGCCAGACCCGCCCACCTCAGCCCAGTCACTCACCCCAGGGATGATCTCCGCCTTGCCCTCCTCTCTCCACTCAGCCACCTTGGCATTGATCTGTTCTCGGACTTCTGACTTGATCTCCCCTGTGTCTCCTGCCAGAGACAGGGGCATCAGTGGAGTGAGGGGCTGAGTTAAGGCTCAGAGGTGGCAAAGACAAAGGAAGCGAATGCCAGAGTGGAGCTGCAGTGCTATAGGACCGGGCCAGGACCCTGGAATGCCCACAAAGGACAGAAGGCAGGAACCCATGCACGGAAGGATAAACTCAAAAGGAGAACAGAAGGCAGACGGCAGGTCTGGGAAGACAGACTGAGGAGGTGGCAGTGCCAGGAGAGGGGTACAAAGACCAGAGGGTGGGTGGCGCAAGGGAAGAGAAAGGGGGCACACCAGAAGATGGGCGCAGTCATGGTGCTGGGGACTAATGGGGAGGGACAGCTGACCTGAGAAGAGGGCCAGGAAGCCCTGAGTACGGGAGTTGATGACGTCAATCTCATGGAGGGACACGGTGTGAACCACCTCCTTGCGCTTCTGCAGCTCCCCATCCGGGCACTGCACAAACTTGGTCTGTGGGGCCGAGGGCAAGTGTGAGGGCAGCAAGGGCATGGGCACCAGGGGCCACACACCAGAGGTAACATAGCATCCAGACCCCACGATGGAACAAAAGACATAGAAACATCCCATTGCCAGGTCAGGGTCAGCCAAGTACCTGGGAGCCCATGGCGTCATAGTCTCGAGCGCGTGTGAAAGAGCGGCCCAGCTTGGAAATCTTGCCTGTGGCCTTGTCAATTGTGATCACATCCCTGCAGGGGCAACGGGACACAGTGAAAGTCCCAGCACTCAGCAGAGGGGCTGAGGCAGGAGCACTTCTGATCTCAGCACTTAGGAGGTGAAGGCAGGAGATCTCTCTCTGTGAGTTCAAGGCCAGCCTGGTCTACAAAGTGAGTTCCAGGACAGCTAAGGCTACAAGGCTACAGAGAAGCTGTCTTGGAGTATAAAACAAAAGAGAAGACTCT